TGGTTTGGCAGCTTTAGTCGGATGTCTCCTTTTCCGACGATCTTTAAGGTTTCATCATCAGCAAGATGAACCTTCCCAAAATCACCACTGACATAGTTCTCCATGATTTCTTGGCATGACGTGGAGTGGAAAGATGCCCCTGAATCCAAGATCCATGATTCAATCAGACTGTTGACACTTAGAATCATGGCATCACATGTCTCCTCTGTCACGTTGGCAGATTCCTGTGCGCCGGTATTTTTCTTCGGTGCTCGGCAATCTCTTTTGAAGTGACCCTTCTTGCCACAATTATAACAGGTAAAATCTTTATTTCCTGTTCTTGATTTTCCCCTTCTGGATTTCGATCTGCCACGATTTGAATTTCTTTCTGAAGTTCTCCCTCTAGACTCTGTGTGCAAGGCTGAGGAGGTTGATGCTTCACCCGATTCTCTCCGTCGAATTTCTTCGCTCAGTACCAGATCCCGAACATCGTCAAATTTTAATTTGCTGTTTCCCGACGAACTGCTGACTGCTGTAACAGTAGCATTCCAACTGTCTGGTAAAGATGATAAGAGAATTAAAGCTCGAACTTCATCATCGAATTCAATTTCCACTGAACTCAACTGGGTTGTGATTGTGTTGAGTTCATTTAGGTGTTGTGCCATCGATGCCCCTTTCGTCATCCGCAAATTAAATAATCGCCTCATCAAATGAACTTTGTTTGAGGCCGATGGCTTCTCATACATACTGGAGAGAGCCGCCATAAGACCCGCCGTGGTCTTTTCCTTTGCTATGTTGAAAGCAACATTGCGGGATAACGTCAGTCGGATAACTCCGAGGGCTTGTCTGTCGAGAAGAGCCCAGTCTTCATTCTTCATGCCCTCTGGTTGCTTTCCTGAAAGAGGTTGATATAGATTTTTCTGGTACAAAAAATCTTCAATCTGCATCTTCCAAAAGCCAAAGTCCGCATCATCGAACTTTTCAATTTTCACCTTCCCTTCGTCTGCAGCCATCGCTCCCACTCGAATCTGGCTTCGTTTGGATCGTTTCTGACAATTTCTGCGAACCGCCGTGTATTAGAACACCTCCGTCGACAAACTCGTATCGCCGACCGAATTTCACTATTCACGAAATTCACTATTCACGTGAATAGTAATGAATAGTAACCTCGCAGAAAATTTACAAAATTCACAACCAAAAGCTCTGATTACCAGTTGTTAGGAAATAAACCAAGTACAAGTAATTTCCCTATAACCAGATTTGTAAGAATGCGAAATAAAAGCGGAAAAATAATACCCGAAATTGATAACGGAGTTCAGCCAATTGTGCTTACGTCTCCGGGCTGCTGCAGATCTTTTACTAAGATAAAATTTACAGGTGTTTACACAACACACTTGAGAGAGAACTAGAAGATTTTGGGATGATATTGAAGCTAAATGAGCTAGGGTATTTATAGTTAAAACTTAGGGACTAATCTTTGAAAATATTCTAAAGTCTAGTGACCAAAAAATAATTAACCCAAACCTAAATTCAACAAAATTAGGCAGCCACCCATTTATTCAAAGCACCCCCCACCTTTGAATATCAAGCAGCCACCGGCTGCTAGTATTCATATTTGACCAACAGTTTTTAGGGGTTTGAACTGAGATTTCAAGTATTGGGGATTTAATACAAGGGAAGAAACTATCAGTCTACGGTTTGATGATGATCATAGAGCAAAACGGCACCAAACATTCAACTGGAATGTGCAGCACATAAATGAGATTCGATTCAGTGTGGATGGTCCTATGTTACTTTTGCATACGTGGCTGACACACTGATTTGATCTCCACATGGATCGTTGCCTTTTGCAGTGGACCCACCACCATATATAAACCTCCTTCGGATCTTTCCTGATTAAATTTTGTTCTTAATTTATCTAAAAAATAAAGGGTTAAACATATTTAACCACTGAATTTGTTTACCTTTATCAGTTTAGTCCTTGATTTTTCTTTTCATCACATTTTTATTGTTGATGGGGAAAATAGAATCAAGATGATTTTAGGATACTATCTTTTAAATATAAATATAAAGTTGTAATAGGTGATTCTTATAAAATGATTTAGAATAACTGAGTTCAGATTCTTGATGTTTATGACAAACCTAAGATCATGAATAGTGTTGATGATAATGTCAAGAGATCATATCACTACTATTTATTTTCAATGCCATCGAATTCATCTCGAGTGCAATCCAAAAGGCATCTATACTTTATTTGGACCAAAGAAAGGCAGTTTATTCGTGTATTACACTGACATATTATATAGATTCCGTTTGCAAAAGTATCTCAGGGGTCTCTCACTAGGGTTCCAACTTTCCCCAAATCAAGTGATGGCAGCTTCAGAAGGTAAATTACGTACTCTAATCATCGTATTTTTTTCTGTTTTTATTTTTAATGTTACCTTTTTCATATTTCTTTGATTAGTTTTCCGTGAAAATATGTGAAAAGTAAGGAAGTTTAGGGTTCTATTTTCATTTAATCGAACTGCTTTCCCCCTCTTGTTTCACTTTTCGAGTTGCCTAATTGTGAATCGTAGATCTGATTATTGTTTGACTTCGTTTTTCTTTTTCATGTCGTAAATCGTGCGCATAAAATCGTGAAATTATTGAAAAAGGACTGAGAGTAGGAGGAAGATGATCAATTTGTTAAAGAGAAAACAGATGAGGAGTTCTGAGAAAACTTTCTTCATCAAATAATAATAGTTCATTTACACTGAACGCATTTTTATATACATAATTGGTTAGGTAATCAATAACTTCCTACTGACAGGCTAACTAAATCAAACTATCCACCATCGATCCTACAGGACCTGGAATTGTAAGTTAATTTGGCTGTTTTTTTTTTGTCTAAATAAAGCTTTTTAGTTCTATTTTTATTGTGCCATCAACTGAATTTTTTTTTGGGTGGGGGGGGGGGTAAGAAGAAGAAGAAAGATTTGTAATGCACTATGAAGAGAGAATCTTTCATTATGGAGTGTGTTTCTGCTTCATCGGTTTTTCGGTGTTCTGCTTCTTAATTCATCTTCTATAGCTTTGGAATATCTATTGATGTAGGGTTTGTTAATGTTACTATATTGTCTCTCTTCCAAACATGTTAGTTTGCATTGGTACCAGATGGCTTACTTACTAGTATTACATAAAATTTGATCAGCAATGGCGAATGCGGAGAGCGATAAGACACTGAGAAAAATCGCCGAAGCCTTCAAGGAACTTGCGGCCACGGTAAACTCGCAAACAACAGATATGGAGGTGCCCCCTTTCTCGCGCGCATGTTCTTTTGTTTCTCCCCTCTTTGGTTGTTTAGGCATTGCCTTCAAGTTCGCAGAAATGGACTACGTTGCAAAGGTTAATGATCTTGCAGAGGCGTCAAAGTCGATTGCGACGCTAAATGCAATGCTTGACGGGGATATAGAGCGGAACTGCATTAGGAAAGCGGGGAGTCATACACGAAACCTTTTGAGAGTGAAACGCGGTCTTGACATGGTCAGGGTCCTCTTTGAACAAATTCTAGCTACAGAGGGTGATTCCTTAAGAGATCCTGCTTCTAAGGCCTATGCTCAGGTATTTGCACCACACCATGGCTGGGCAATCAGGAAAGCTGTAGCTGCTGGGATGTATGCTCTTCCGACGAGGGCACAGCTAATGAAAAAGTGAATGAAGACGAGGCATCGGCGAGAATTCAAATGCAACACTATGTTGCAGCATCCGGTCCTGTCATTTTGTACATCGACAAACTCTTCCTTTCAAGAGAATTGGGTACAGATTGGTAAAAGATAGAAACAACAGTATTTACAGATACCTGTTTATCGTTGAAGAACATAAACAGCAACCATGGTTGTCTCTTGCAAGCATTTCATCAAAGAAAACACGTGTGTCATTCTAATAAGAGAGGTTTTAAAATTTAATCCAAGTCGATTCATGAAAGAAAGAAACTGATCTATCTAATTTTATGCCCTCTCCATTTCTCTTGCTTTTGTACCCATATCTCTTTTTCTTTTTCCTCCCAACATTTTGAGCTTAATATAGACGTATAAAGTTATTTTAATTTGTTATGATTACTAAGTCATTAATTAATGATAAAATATAATAATACAAACCACATAAATATGAAAAATATATTTGACCTAGAAAATAAAAAGCAACGTGGAGCCAATAAACTAAGCCACGTAATAAACAAAACACAAACCCCAAACCCTTTGGTGAATAAATTTGAGGGTTAAGATCGTTATTTGGTTGCCAAAGCTTTTCCCAAACCACACAAATATTTTTTTAATTGATTACTAATATATATTGATCGACTAATCCAGATCGAATACTGCAGAGGTGAGGGCGACTTTTCCAATCCAGTTTGCTCCATTCGCAAACGCAAGAATTCGAATCTCTGACATTACTTAGAGACATATTGTCTCATCCCACTAGACCAACGAGTTGTTACAAAAATACTTCTTTTAACAGATTTTTGTTTGGATGGATAATCATCCCTCAAAACATGAATTTCATGTCAGAAGTTGTGTGTTTGGCAATGTTTCTATAGCCCATAAACACTTTTGATTGCCAACAACGAAACCTCAATAATTAATGCATATTTTTTAATTAAATTAAATTGATTAATCGATAACTTTAACCCAATAAAACTCTTAAAAATATAATATGCATATAATTTTTTTAAAGGAAAATTTGATATAATAGAAAATGAAATAAGAATTATCAATGTCTTATAAAAGAATAAAATACAGTTCAGATCATTAGATTAATAGTTTGATTATATTTTTAAGATAGATACTAAAATTTGAACCTATACAATATAAGATTATATATAAGATTATATATATATATATATATATATATATATTTAATCACTCAATTTATTTTTTCTTAAATAAAATTATAAGTCCGTTATCTCACTAACTTGTCGAAAAAGTAAATAAATAAATAATAAGAGAAGCGGACCCAAGAGCATATTCTTTCTAGTCAAAATCTATTCTTTAGTTCTCATTTCCCTAAACTTCGAAGTCTGGAATTCGCTTACAAGGAAAAACAAATTACAATACAGGTAAATTTTACTTCTTCCTATCTTTGTTTTACATCAATCTGCTTTGTTCTTCAATCTAGCTTTCTACAATTCTCGGTATTATGATTTCTGTTTCTTTTCATATATATGATTGGTTGAAGATTTTCTCGTGCTCGTATTTTTTAGCGAAAAAGAGAGAAAAAAGAAACGAATTTTAGATTGTGATCCTTGAATATAAATTCTCCCTGAATTTCTTGCTTCTCATGGTTTCGTGTCGAGGCAGCTATCCTGGAATCTCTTTGTTTTATGCCTTTTTTCCCTCCGCTATTGAAGCGTCTTAGTTGATAGGTCAGATCATTGATTAAGATCGTCAAATAATCCTTAATAATTTTTTATCGTTTAAAATTTTCACTAATATGATTTCGTGGCCTAGGATTTGGAAGGACCTTATTATCACACTATTAGTTCGTCTTAGGACCCACTTTTAACTTAATTTCTGCTAAATAGGGAGTTAATCTGACTTGATTAATTCAGTTTCTTAAATTTAAAAAAGGAAAGGAAAAAAAAGAAGCTAAAGCTAGCTTAGTTTAAGCTATAGATTGGAATATGGTGGAATGGATTTGGTATTAGCTTTGTTCACAATTTATGGGAATTCCAATTTAATTATTAGCTTTTATATTTTAGGTAAGAATATTTTGGTTGCTCGACTCTTGTTCCATTTTTTTATTTTTTGCATTTCAGCTAATACTTGTGCTTTTATAATTTTTGATGCAGTTTAGGCCAATCTCTCTATATTATAAGCTGATTCTGTTGGTTCCGTGCAGAAATTATTAGTTGAGAATTTAAAGCTGATGCCTTAATGGATAGAAAACGACATATAGCAATTTTTACAACAGCAAGTCTGCCATGGATGACTGGAACTGCAGTTAACCCATTGTTTCGAGCCGCTTATCTTGCCAAAAATGGAGAGAGAAAGATCACATTGGTGATTCCTTGGTTATCCTTGAAAGATCAAAAACTAGTATACCCAAACAACACTAAGTTTGGTTCACCCTCAGAGCAAGAGTCATATATTCGTCAATGGCTTGACGAGAGGATAGCATTTATAGCTGGTTTCACTATACGCTTTTATCCTGGAAAGGTAATCGTAACAGGCTGTTATTTTCCTGTCAGGCCTTTACCTGGAATTGTAATCATGTCTGATCTTTTCCTGAAATATAAACGTGTTCATTCATTTACATGGTAGGCTCGTGGCTAATTTATCTTGTATTATACATTTTCTGATCATTAAAACTTCTTAATGTCGTCAAATGATATGTGGAGTTAAAAATAAATAAATGTACGTAATTTTGAGTTCTCCACATCTATTGGAATGCTAATCTGGTTGAATTTATCTGTGCACTCGTGCACCATTTTGCTGTATGTCTTCGGTATTTATTTAGACATTAGAACCATCATTTGAGTAGTGTAGTAGTAATCTGATGGTAATTTATGACAACACTTGTGATGCAGTTTGCTGTAGATAAGAGAAGCATTCTTCCTGTTGGAGACATCTCGAAAATCATCCCTGATGAAGAGGCAGATATTGCTGTCCTTGAAGAACCTGAGCATCTTACATGGTTTCATCATGGGAAGAGATGGAAAGATAAATTCCGCCTTGTCATTGGAATAATACATACCAATTATCTGGAGTATGTGAAGAGAGAAAAAAATGGACAATTCCAAGCATTTCTTCTGAAAAATGTAAATAGTTGGGTTGTAAGCATCTATTGCCATAAGGTAAGTTTCCTAATGAATCTTGATTTTCATCCTGGTTGTAAAACATTAATGCGACTTTTGCCCCTATTCTGTTAAAGATCTGTGTTATTTTAGGATTAAAATTTGTACTTCTGCGCACTAGAACAAACTTGTTGAAACAGCTTAGATTAACTAAGGAAGAAGGTACTTGCAGTTTACTTTGCCCTAGATGCTGTATTCTTCGTACTTTAACCGGGATAGGATCTCTGCCAGCAAGGGTAGAACTGGGAAGGAGAAGAAAGTTGAATTTCCTTGAGTTTCCATACGTTGATTTATAAATTATAATTAATTTCATCGAATTGAAATCATGTGTAAGTGTAATCGCAGGTAATTAGGTTGTCTGCTGCTACCCAGGATTATCCCAGATCCATCATCTGTAATGTTCATGGAGTTAATCCCAAGTTCCTCGAGATAGGTAAGAAAAGATTTGAGCAACAACATGGAAGTAACCAAGCCTTCACCAAAGGGGCTTACTACATTGGGAAGATGATTTGGAGCAAAGGCTATGGAGAACTACTTAAACTACTCCATGATCACCAGAAGGAGCTCGCTGGTCTTGAATTTGATCTATATGGCAACGGAGAGGACTCCGGTCAAATTAAGGAAGCTGCTAGCAAGCTGAAACTGATGGTTAGAGTGCTTCCTGGTCGTGATCATGTCGATCCTTTATTCCATGAGTAAGCCTCCTTTGGTTCTCACACAGTCCCGACCCTTTTATTTTAGTCTGGGTGATGAATGCAGGTATTGGTATAAATGAACAGTGATTTCCCCCCCTTGTTTTCCTTTTCAGTTACAAAGTGTTCTTGAATCCTAGCACCACAGATGTTGTTTGCACAACCACAGCTGAAGCATTGGCTATGGGAAAGATTGTTGTTTGTGCCAATCACCCCTCAAACGACTTCTTCAAGCAGTTTCCCAATTGCCGAATATATGACGACGAAAATGGTTTTGTTGAAGTCACACGCAAGGTACTGAGTGAAGTGCCTGTCCCATTGACCGATGCACAACGAGGTGAACTATCTTGGGAAGCAGCCACGGAACGGTTTTTAAGGGTTTCTGAGCTAAACCAGGTCTGTACAACAACAGAAACGGAGAAAAAATCATCGAAGAAATTTGCATCGGTCTCCTTAAACCTGTGGAAAAATATAGAGGACACTTCAGCATATTTTCACTATCTGGCCTTAGGATATGAAGCAACGAGAAGAGCATTTGGTGCGATTCCGGGGAGCTTGCAACCGGATGAAGAGCAACGTAAAGAACTTGGGTTGACCAACTGATTCAAAGTTGAAACTTTGTAAATTCATTTCAGGACATATTTGGAATGCTATAAAAATTCATTTAATGGCTACGTTTTCTTTGTAAATTCTTTTTTATCGTATTTCGACCGATTTATTTATTTAGTGTTGGGTTCAGTTCATCCTATATTTCAGGGTAATCGTATCCAAGAGTCATCCTGAACTAGCAGTTTTATACTTTGAATAGTGCAAAAATATAACGGGTAATCTTGATACTATAGGTAATGAAAATTACCTTTGTCAGTCTTCATTTTATTATTATTTTTATAAATTAAATAAATGTATTATACATACATGTCTTAAAATTGTTAAATATAAGATAAAAGTTGACTCTCCCAAGAATCGGAGATTGTTTGGCCTTAACAATGGGTATTTTGATTCAAGTGGTTGTACCTCTTCCGAGTCCGGATATTTTCCATAAACATTTTCATTGTCATTCCTTTGTCTATTAAACCTCGAAATTTTTAAAGTTTCATGTAGGATATTTAAAAATTATGTTAAATCCGATTAGATTATAATTAGAATTAAATTTTTAAATCAAAATTAAAATAAATAAATTATATTTAAATTTAATTCCAATAAAATTTTATTAAAATCATATATGATATGATTAAAATCAACAAAAAAATTTATCTTACTCTATTTCTTTGTAATCCTTGATGAAATATAATCGAGGATTATAATCTAATAAGACAAACTTTTTTTTGGATAAGTAGATTTTATTATCCATAGGAAAAGTAGCTACAAAAATCGTCCCAAAAGGGAGTATAAACAATAATTACAACAAAATAAAGATTAGTCTATACCCCATTTACAACAAATATTATAGTCAACAGAATCATTTATATTGATATTTTTTCCATTAAGCTTGATTCGGACAGTTTCTTTGATAGATTACAGAAGTAGTGCAGCCTCCCTAGTTCTTTGCTGGAAAATTCTTCTATTTCTCTCCTCCCAAATCGCATAGATGTAGGAAGTCCAAACTATTTTAAATAGGGTGGAGATTAAAGATTTACCCCTCCATTCAACACAAGCCCATTCAATCATTGTTTCTTAAGATATTTGGGGTTTATGCAAGTGAGTCAAGTTTAATATAGAGTTCCACAGAGTTTTAGCAAAGCTACAATCTGTAAAAAGATGGTTTATAGACTCAAAAGCCTCATTGCATAGAACACATTGAACATCATTAAGAATTCCCATCCTTGACAGTCTATCTCGAGTTGGGAGTATGTCTAGGATTGCCATCCAAGCCATCATACTAAACTTAGGAATATGCATAGGGAACCATATGATTTTATGCCAAGTCACCTTACTCTTTCTATCTCTGACAGCTTCCCAAATATCTTTAGTGTAAATTGTTCAAGCATTCAGAATGGGAAGAGCAGTAAGTCTCAGCTTCAGAAGTTTTTTAGTACACCAGCTGTGTGCATTGCTTTCATCCATGTCATGGAAGTCATTATTCTTGAGAACATAGCAGTGCAACCAAGCCACCCAAAGGGATCTTTCTCCTGCCAGAATATTTCAAATTAACTGAATCATGCAAGCAATATTCCAGGATTTTAAGTTCTTCAAACTTAAGCCACCTTCAGATTTAGGACATCAAATACTTGTCCAACTGAATCGCACCCCAGAAGCTGCCTGATCAGTGCCTTCCACAGGAACCGAGAACAAAGCTGATCTATATGGTTAATAATAGACTGAGGAAGCATGAATTGCCTGCACCAAAAATTAACCACACTGAAGAGAACTGTTTTGATTTATTCAAGTCTCCCAGCATAACCGAGCAGCTTACTAGACCAATGATACAATCTTAACTTGATTTTATCTAGAAGAGGCTGGTAGTCAAGTTCAGACAGTTTTTTAGTGACTAATGGAACTCCTAAATACCTGACTGGGAGCTGACCATGCTTAAAGCCAGAAATGGAATGAATAATTTCAAGGTTTCTAGAGGAAATACCAGCAACAAAAAGTTTAGTTTTGCTTACATTGAGCTTGAGTCCAGACAAGGCATAGAAATGGTTTAATACAGAGATGATTCCAACTATAGATTTAGGATTTCCTTTGCAGAAAATAAGAAGGTCGTCAACAAAAGAGAGATGAGTTTGACCAATTTTTTTTATATTTAGGGTGATACCCAAATATCCCTTTAGAAGAAGCAAGATTTAGGATTTTGGAGAGTATGTTCATAGCAAGCACAAAGAGGATAGGGGATAAAGGGTCTCCTTGTCTAATCCCCTTTTGACCTTTGAAATAACCAACTAAGCTACCATTGAAGGAGATAGAGTATCTGGCTTCTTTGAAACAAACCTCTATCCATTTTAAGAAGATATTAGGAAGACCAAAGGCTTTAAGGGTAGCAGAGATGAAATCCCAATGGAGAGAATCAAATGCCTTTTGTAGATCAATTTTGAGAGCATACCTAGGAGATATTTGTTTTCTACCATAACCTTTTAATAAGCTCCTGAGCAAGAAGAGTGTTGTCAGTTATAGATTTTCCACGAACAAAAGCAGACTGGCTAGGAGTAATAACAGCAGGAAGTAAAGTGGTCAGCCTTTTAACAAGGATTTTGAAGATGGTTTTGTACACTACTGAGCAACATGAGATAGGTCTATAATCCTTGATAGTACTAGGATTATGTATCTTAGGAATCAAGGCTATAATCGTGGAGTTAAAAGCAGGCAGAATGAAAGCTTCTTTAAAGAAAAATCTGATTGCTTTGGTTACATCATTTTCAACCACAGTCCAAGTTCTTTTGAAGAAAAGAGGAGTAAAACCATCTGGACCAGGAGATTTATCATTTTATTGGCTAAATATGGCTTCTTTGATCTCTTCATTAGAAACATTTTTAACTAAGTCTTAAGAGAGCTCAGCAGGCATGTCGAATTGGAGAAGGTTTTTCAAGAAATGAGGATCGGTTTACTATAAGTCAAGGTCCACCTTGCATAATTGCTATTTGAAGAATTCTAAGGCTTCTGATGACATGTCTTCAAAAGATTCCAGCCTTTTTCCTTGAGTATTTATAAGGACTCTTATGGTATCATTTTGGTTTTTAGTAGCAATAACAGAGTGAAAATGTTTAGTACACTTGTCTCCCTCTTTAAGCCACTTGACCTTAGATTTTTGCCTTAAAAACAGTTTTTCAACTTCCTATAATGCAACAAGCTCATTTTGAATAGATAGTTCCTTCTCAAGGGGGTTGGTTCCTTTAAGAGTAGAGATTTAAACTTGTTCCAGCTCTATTTTCTTTAGCTTGACTCTAGTAGATAAGTTACTGTAGGAATTCTTGTTCAAAGCTTGTAAACAAGGCTTAAGTCTTTTAAGTTTGAGGAAAAGAGCCTGCATTGGATTACCATGAATAGTTTGTTGCCAAGAATGTCACACTTCATCAAGAAAAATAGGATGGTTGGACCAAAAATTGAAGAACTTGAAAGGCTTGGGTTTGTTGGTATAGGCTTCTGTTGAACTATGTTTTGATATAACAATTTAAGGCAAAATGGTTTTTGGACTTGAATTGAATTTACAAAATGTTTTTGGACTTAATTGAATTTATTCAAAGTTTTAAAAGGTTTCAAAAATAATTCAAATTCCATTAAATTTGAATTTGAGCCAAAATGCTAAAGGGTGTCAAAGTGCATCCATGCACCCCTGCAGTGCATCCATGCACCTGCACTAGTGCATCGATTCACCTTGCAGTGCATCCATGCACTCAAACACCGAATGCAATTAGTGCATCGATGCATCCTTCTGTGCATTGATGCATCAAGGTTGTGCATCGATGCATCCTGTTGTGCATCCATGCATGAAGGCTACAACGGCTAGTAATGACTAGTTTATTTGAATTTAATGAAGGGGTATCGATGCACCATGATAGTGCATCGATGCATCATGTTATGGGCAGCCTTTTTGAGTAGAAATATCATCCCTAAACGGCTCCAAAACATCCCCAACGACTATATACAACATCAAACACATTCTAAGCTATACATACAAGCTAAGGACACTTGAAGAAGAAAGAGAACAACCATCCAAGCAATCAAACACAAGAGAAGAGTTTTTCATTCTTATTTCATCTTTCTCTTGTAAATATTTTGTTCTTGTGAGCTTAATTCTTGTAAACACATAACTTTGAGAGGGTTTTCTTGTTTACTTATTTTATCCTTTTGTAAAGGGGAAAGGTTCTAGCTTATCCCGTGTAAAAGCTAGGGAAAGCTTCTAGTTTAGCCCGGAAAAACTAGGGAGTTTGTAAGGTTACTTTTTATCCTCAAAAGAAAGAACAAATTAGTGAATTTGTTGGAAAATCCTTGGTGTGGAGCTAAGGCAGTGGATGTAGACTTTGGTTGAGAAAGTCGAACCACTATAAATCACTGTGTAATTCTCTATCTTTCAATCTCCTTACTCCCTAAACACAAAACCGTTCCGACCCCTCTTTGCAAACTGTTCCCGTTATCGATTTGAGCTTCCAAAAATCCCAACAATTGGAATCAGAGCCTAACTCGTTAAAAAGGTTTAACCACCTTGAGACGATCCTCAAAGAAGCTCTACCAATTCCCGACACAACTGAGAAGATGGCTTCCATCTCCGGTTCGTTCTACATGGAAGACTCCCTACCAACGGACAAGCCTCCATACTTCAATGGAGTCAACTATCATCATTGGAAGAAATTAATGAAGGTATTCATCCAATCCAATGATCTTGATGTATGAGAGATAATCGAGAACGGCTACTTTTCTCCAAAAAAGAAGGAGAAGAAGTAGAGTGACAAAGAACGGAAGAAAGCTCAACTTAATGCCAAGGCCATGCACATGGTGGTATGTGCATTTGGTCCTGAAATCTATGAAGGAGTTTCTTCATGTTCAAGTGCCAAGGAGCTTTGGAATAAGCTCGAGGAAATCCATGGAAATAAGAAAGAAGAACCAACAAAGGTGGTGTCTCTAATGGCTTGTGAAGATCCCGAGGTATCTTCTAACACAAATGAATTTAATTCATATATGTTTGATGAGTTACAAGGTGCTTTTAATAGTTTATATTCGGAGTTTGAGGCCATGAACTCTAAATATAAGAAAATGA